TCCATTCATCTGTTGATGGGCATCTAGGTTGTTTCCATCATTTTGCTATTGTGAACAATGCTTCCATGAACATAGGTGTGCATATGTCTATTCGAGGGACGACTCTTATTTCTCTAGGATATATTCCTAGGAGTGTATAGAAACTGTGTTTTTAAAATTTTTGTCATGCTATTTAAATATTTTGCAAAAATTGCCTCCATACCACCAATAACACTTTGTAATAATTTCAAACCAACAATAAAACACAAGGAATCCACGAGCAGGGCTCAAAAGATGCACCAAGCCCAATCCTTACAAAATCCTTACAAAAATGTCTGACTGCTTTAAATGCTTATAAGATGCAAGCTGTTGTTTGGGGAGCAAGCTATTTCTTTTGAAAAGTTGGATAGTGAAGTAAGCACTTACTCTGGAAATATACCTTTCAGCTGTTAAGATACCAAAGGCCTCCAGTGTTAGCTAAACTGCATTTGTAGGTGAGAAATGTTTGTGAGGATAGAGGTGATTTAGGTTTGAGTGGCCTTAGGAGGATAACAGTAAAATCATAGAAACCACAACAGGACTACTTTACCAAGATGTCTAGATGCAGGAAATTGATGGCAAGTTGCTTTGACTCCACTTATGCTACTACAAATAAATAAAAATACATCACAGCTCCTACTTTTGTTCTCCATTCTTTGAATGTGGCTATGGAACATGTTCTTACCTGCCTGCTTTGGTGATGATCATTTCAGTTCCAATATCATGGAACCTCTTCCAAAGGTCAGCACATTGCAGCTCCACCTGAATCTCCTCCATGGAGGACATGGTGGCAGGCACAGGGCCTGCGGCACCAGAGGTCAGGTCCCGGTGAGTGTCGAAGGAGCAGGAAGTCCGCTCAGTGAGCACCTCAGAGTCCGAACCAGTGCTCTGCTCAGAATCTGCAAAAGGAACAATCAAGCCTTAGGTGAGCAACTGCTGAGCACCCGCCCTAAAAAAATGTGCGTGTGGAGTGGGGATGGGGTGAACAAAAGGAGAAGCAAAGCTGGGACGCTCTGGAGCACAGCACTCGGGGTATTTTATTATTTTTTTATGGTTTGTTTTTTGTGATTTATGACCTTCTTTCAGGTTTCGTGTTTCCAACATGGCATCTGGCATTTTAGTAAGTTTTAGCAACAGCTGAAGAAAATTGGTCCACAACCGGCAATGTGAAGAGTACTAATGTCACCACATTGATGAGAATGAGGCCAAACAGGTGACAACAACATAAATAAATGCCAAATTAAAAAATATAATAATAATTACAGCCTATAACTCCAAATCTCTATTAGACAATTTCACTCGGGGGTGGGGGGGAGAAGAAGGGATTCAATGCTAATAATGTTTTCTTTAATTCCATACTACCCACCATCACTGCCCATCAGGCAGTCATTTTTAAACACAGCCATTTTCCTCCACTTACTTGTCCTGGTCATCAAAAGTAGTAAAAAGTTGTTTGGGATCTTTAGAAATACTTTGTTGTATATTTGAGTAAATGGCTTTTCCTAAGAGTCCAATTAGGCATTTTGAGTGAAAAAAAAAAAAAGTCTGTTGTGAGGCAAGGATGTAAGCATATGGAAAAAGTTACCCGAGAAGGTGGCTGAAACAAAGGGAATAAATGAGTTCAGGAGACACCTTGATTGGTTTCTGAAGTATGGGCAGAGGGGAGGGGTGATTCAAACAGGAAGGTGGGATCGAGAGCAACCAAATAAAAAGCTGGCATGCTGAGCCAGATGGTCCTTTCCTGTGTCTTCTGAGCTCAAGGAGCAAGGCAGCGGGCGGGGGGCGGGGGGGAAGGGATGGGCATAAACTGATGAAGAAGACTGGGGTCAGATTTACCAGAGAAGAATTTTCTGTAATGTTTTAAATTTACTTTTAGGTACATGATGCCAATAATTAAATGTCCTAAGATTTTCCAAGTCCAGATTAGCTAGTATAATTTTGTTAAATCCAATGTGGTGCAAGCCAAGTCTAAAAACCTGTTTCTCTGGCCCACCCTTAACATGCAGGATTCTGATTGCTTCCCTTGTAAATAAACACATACATAAATAAAGGTTGGAAATAGCAGTGTCTTACTCTGACAACTGACTTTTCAATGTTCTCAAGGGTCAGAGGTTCTGGGACATCAGTCCTTGGCAGTAGTGGGATGAAAGAAGAATGGAACAGAATGCCAGACCATCTTGTTGCCATCCCCACTTACCTGTAGCAGATTTCTAGGTCTGTGAACAGCCCATCCTATGATTCCTTTATTTTCCTTTCCTTCTAGCCCTGACAGGTTTTTCTCTAAACCCCAGGCAGCATCTCTGGCAAGAGTCTCCCACAGCGTTGCCAAAAGCCCACCGGGAGCCAAGTGCCCCTAAGCAGCAAAATGTCATAGCTCTCCATCCTCCCCAGCTCCTCCCTCTTCCCTTCTGAAGGGCATTCAGGTCACTGAAGAACTGCCCCCAAACTCTTAAATAAAGGGGAAGTTTCTGACCAAAAACTTTAGTTTATCCACAGCCACTGGCCCCAATCACCATTTTCACCAAAGAACATGAACAAATGTTTTATAACTAGGTTTTGGATGTCTACGCATAAAACTTTATACCTTGGACTAAACAGGTCTAAGATAGGAGCTAATTTTGGTCTCCTTCAAGCACAGAAAAATGGATCTACTTTTCTAAGATGAGAACTGCTGTTGAAGGACAAACCTCCATCCTAGGATGATTCTATGTGCCTTTCAGTAGCAGAGCATTACCTCATCACACGCTCAGTCAAACAGAGTAGCTCAGCTTCCTCAGACTTGGATTCCCAAATCTCATTTTCTTTCTGTGATATCCCAGGAGTTCCTTACTTATCATGAGCATTGCGAATTTTTCAAAAATTTCTCAAAACAAGATTTAAAAAAAAAAAGCCTTGTCCTACCTTTGGAGCAAAGTGTTACAAAATCTCACCAGACAGCATTACAATTATGAAAAAATTGGAAAGAGACACTGTAAGTAAGATCCACCAGAAATTTTGGACATACGATTTCCCCAGTGTGTGTTTAAGAAAGAAGAGGGAAGGGAAACATATCACTGCACTAAGTGATAAATATTTAATGGAAGCCAAGTCGAGGCTGGGATTGGAATACGGACTAAGGTGGTGAATTAGGAAATAAAAGACTCTACTATGAACTCACTATGTTATCTGGAATAAAATGGCTCCTCAAAATTTAACTGTTAAATGGATAAATGAGTAACTTTAGACAAGTCACTTAACCACATCAGCCTATTTTCTCACTGTGCAACTAGAGGGACTGAACTAAAAACATTCAGCATCTCTTCCAGCCTCTAATGAAAAGGATGTAAGAACATTCTCTGATGCAAGTCTTGGTAATAACGCAGACAACCTCAATTAGAAGCATCGAATTTAAAACTGTTTGGGCGAGACAAGTTAAAGGAAGAAAAAGAAAGACTGAGGGCCCAGATTCCTATTATTATAGAAGTTAAAGAATTGAGTGGGTGTTCTAAATGGGTTTGCAGTTTAAATCAAATCAATCAAAAACCACCTATCAACATGTGGCTCCATATGAGGTTCCAGGTAGATAATTTGAAACAGAAGTTTCCCAGTTAGTATTGATTAATTATGTGCTTATGGAGTGCTTACTATGTGCCCAGCATTGTGCTAGATTCTGAAAAAAATCAAAGCACCCAATGGGGCCCTTCTTCAAGGCACGTACTGTACAAGCGGAGACTGAGAGCATTCACAAATAATCAAAGACTAATATGAATACTACCACACAGTTTTCCACACCATTACATATTGTGTTGTATGTCTCATAGGATCTCAGAAAAGCGAGGGCTCTAAGAGGGCTGGAACAGTCCTGGGAACCCATGATTAGTAGAAAGTCTACTTTGGGTAGTTGGACAAGTCTATGGAGGCATAGGAAGTATTTGCCTATTTGAAGAGACTTTTCAGAGACAGTTATTTGTTTCCTAGAAACACTCTGAGGTTCTTGACTCTCATTCGTTCACAAAATAGAGCCCAGCGATATTTACATACAGAATGAAGGCACCCGCCCACACTTTCGAAAACATGAATACATTGTAATTTTCCATTCTCAATTGTTTCTTAGATATAATCATTGGGAAATAAAATTAATGTTATATTTTATAGGGTATTTTTAAACCTCCAGAGGCATTTGCTCCATGTGAGATGTAAGCTACAGTACAATACCCTTAAAATAACAATCTCCGAGTCAAGAACAACGATCTAAATAAAAATACATTTTAACCCTTTGTAAAATGCATTTCTAAATCATAGTTATATAACATATACAGGATAACCAGACCAATAATTTCAAGTTGAACAATAAGCTATTAATCAGAATGTATAATCTAGTTACCTAAGTCAAGAAGATGAGAAATACATAGCTGGTTTTTTCAATCAAATCAGATCATTCATTCAGAAATATAATCATTCCCTTGAAGGTCAGAAAACACCTTTTTGTTTTCAAGTTCTTCTATTCTTAGCAATTTGTGACTCCCTGTCTTCAAAAAAATAATCATTAGGAGCTCATTTGGATGACCCAGAAAGACTCTTCGCCTATCAGATGACTTTATGTATAGTATTTTAACAAGGTACGTTTCAGTAAATCAGGAACATAAATGATAAAGTTACACATAACCAAGGAAGTTAAACATGAACACTTAAAAACTTGCATTGAGCCAGTTACAACTCACTGGAGAACACTGTGTGAATCATAGGGTCAAACCAACATATCTATTCCCATTAAAAAAAAAAACCCACAAATTCCTAAAAGGGAGATACTAACTATGAGTTCATCGTGTCACCCGCTATCTCTGACCTACTGGTGCTTTGATAAAAATGGATGCTATTATACTAAGTTCACACAGAAAGTTGAGTTTAGCTTAGAGTGAGTTCCATTCTCATTTCATGTACAATGGTAGCAATAATAAAATAGATTCTTAATTTATATTTTAGATTTTATCTAATCTATCCTTCCAATTGATCAAGTAAACATAGCATTTATTTTTATGTCCATTTTGTGGATAAGGAAATTGAGACTAAGAGAAATTGAAAGTTAACATGGACTAGAAGGTAGGTCTCCTGCCTCCTGATCTCCCCACGATCACACTAGGTTCAACCCCGGCCAAAAGAGCCAATAATTCTGTAAAACCAGTTGCCATTGAGTCAATTCTGACAAATGACAACCCGATGTGTGTCAGAGTAGAACTGAGCTCCGTAGGTTTTCAATTTTGGGGTTTCAATTTTCTGAAATCAGATACACAGCGTCACTTCCCTAAGACTAATTTTTCAGAAGTAGGTCACCAGGCCTTTCTTCCAAGGTACCTCTGGGTGAACTCTAACCACCAACTTTTCACTTAGCAGCCCAGCACATTAACTGTTTGCACCACCCAGGGACTCCAGTAATTCTGTAGCACCTCTCAAATATTTTGACCATTCTCACAACCGAAACATCTTAAACACGTTTGATCTTGCCCAAGTCACTATTCTGGTACCCAATTTCATTAATATTTATAGCACAGCACATGCACATTTAATTAGAGGTGCTATAAAGTTCCTTTTAACTCCAACATTTAATGGCTGGATTAGTTGTGCAGCTTAGAGACCACCGAGACTAACAATAGCAAGCCAATCACAATAAATTGATTTGGTTGTTATATGTAGAAAATGCCTTAAATTACAATGTACTTTGATTTTAATGAACACTTAATACCAAAATTAGACATTACCAAACAATCTTCCAGGTGATTTGCATCTCCACTTAAAAGATGTTTTTTGAGGAGTCAGTCATTATTATAGCAAACAAAGCACACTTACTCCTGGGGATCTGCTACTCACGAACAGTGAAATCTTGGAAAGTCTTGAAGAGACTGAAGGTTCACTGGGCCTCAGT